GCATTATGTGATCTGCCTGGATCCTAGAGAGTGATTATTTACCCCCCAATATATTCCAACTAACAAAATGAAAAGTCAACCCCTGCAACAATCCTTCCTAGATCATCTTAGGCTGGATTCACTTTTTATTCATTAATTCAAAATATTTGTTCAATGCCTCCTATGTCTCAACTACTACAGAAAATAATAGGGATACAGAAGACAGATGTGGTCTCTTCCATCACACACACACACACACACAAAACACGCTAATCACAGCACTTAAACTACCAATTTTGATAATTATAGTTTATGTGTTCAATTTCCCTTAGACCTCAAGTTCCATGACAGCAAGATCTGAGCTTATCTATCATTTAGTCTGCAGTGACTGCCATTATATCCAGCTTATAATGACATTCAAGTTTTAAAAAGTAAACACAGAACACAGCTTATTTTCGTATCTTTTCCAACATAGTATGTTGTAAGAAGGAAAAATCTTGAGCATTTTTCATGTTTTGGGATATTTCAGGACTACAGCAACAGCTCTTACCATTTTGAGTACCTACTATATAACACTCTGCAATATTTTATATTATTTCATCTTTAATACAAAATACAGGACTGTCATTAGTTAGGCAATACTAGAGTTTCCAAATGAACAAATAACTTGCCCAAAGTCACAAGGTTTCTAAGCGACAGGACCAGGACTTGAGTTCACATCTTCCTCACTATAAAACCTATGACCTTTCCACTATGTCACTTGGATTTGAAATAAGAAAAAAAGAAAAATAGCCTCCATTTTTTAAAAAATAAAAGACATAAACATTTAAGTTTCTAGGCTAGCAATGGGGGCTTTAAAACAAGGAAAAGACAGATCCTATTAATCTGAACTTATCTAATAATCACAGTAAGAGAGGTTGACCTATTATTTGAATGTGTTATGCTTGTGAGACTCTAAATATAAAGCCTGAAATCAGAGGAAGAAGTTTTTTAGCACCACTCCTCTTATTTATTACTACATCATGTTTCCTTAGAAATCACAAATAACAGTGAATAAAATAAACTTAAATTTTGAAAGACATAATTTTGAAAAAGTAATTGTTGACCCTTGTTAAAGTTTTCAGTAAACAATAGGCTTTGTGGGACATATATCTAATTGTTTGAGTCCAGCTTTTATTTACAATTATCTGGTCTAATGATCACATTTCAGATAGCACAAAATGGATACTTGAATAACAAAACTTTTATCTCATTGTTTGAAACAACATTAAAGATGTGAGTCCAGCTTTTCCATAGTGTCTGGTCTAGTTTTGAGTATAGAATTAGTAAATCAGTTACTACACTAAAAAGGATGGCATGCCATCTACTTTTAATTCCCACATAGAGTGATCAATAATGTGGTTATGACTCTGTTGGCTTTAGCTGTGGAAGATTCTTGGTTAGAGATACAAATGAAATTGTAGAAGGATTGGCTTTTTGATGTCCTACGTGTAATAATCACCACTACAAATTTGGCAAAATTCATTAACTAATGGTAATAAGTGGAGCCTAGACTATACAAATAGTTATTTATGAAAAGCTGTTTATGTGTCAGGAATTGTGATAAGTGCTCTCTATGAATTTAATGTATTTCTTCCAACCACCCTGCAAGAGGGCTACAAACAACTGACAAGATCAAGGAGTAAGGATTTAACCCAGATGTTCATCTCTAAGAGTTCACATAGCTACTTGCTGTGCTACAGTAATCACATATAACCAATTTCTCAATTTGCAAACAAACAAACAGAAACAGCGGTCAAGAGGCATTAAATGACATGTCCAAGGTCACAGGTTTACCGTGTTTACATTAGTTCCCAGCTCAATGGATGCCCAATTTAGTGAAATGTTTTCTCTCCTAGACTTGTGTTACTGAATGACTCATTGAGTTCTCACAAAATATTTTTCTGCTTCTTCCTGCATATCTGAAGTAACAAAATCATACTTACCTGTACTTGACTGGACAATTCCAGAGTCTACTGTTTGTCCAAGAAGATCATACTGGTTTAGACGTGATCCATCTTCTGCTACAACCACTGAGCGTGCTGGCTCTCTGGTCCATTCATAAACAACTTCTGCTCTTGTATAAGCATCTAAAAGGAAACAGTAGAAAATGACCCATATATTTTACCACTTCAATTCTCTTATTTAGTTAGTACCTTTTATCAGCTTCATATTTGCTATATCATAGTTCCAGAGGGCAGGCTAGGAAAGAAGGGCTCACATCCCTTAATTTACGAAAACTAAAACACATTTTCAGATTTTTTTTATGTCATTTATTCACTCTTCCAGTAAATGGTTATAAAGATCTGCAAAGGACAAAATTTTGTGCTGGGGATACAGTAGTGAACATAAGAACAAAAGTTCTTTATCTTATGGAATATGCATTTGTAGCAGTGGGGACAAAAACATACAAGCATATGCAATTTCAAGTAGAGATAAGTGTGATAGAGTCATACACAACCAAGTGAAAGGATAGAGAATGAAGGGATGGAGACTTATCCTAAGTAAGGTAAGGGGCTCAGACACAGTCGTCTCAGAGGAGGTGACATTATACAAATATAGGGCAGATACACGTGAAAATCTTGGGGAAGAGTTTGCCCAACAGACAAACTAACAAGCTTCTCCTTCTCCTTCTCCTTCTCCTTCTCCTTCTCCTTCTCCTTCTCCCTCTCCCTCTCCCTCTCCCACTCCCACTCCCCCTTCCACTCCCTCTCCCCCTTCCACTCCCCTTCCTTCTCCTTCTCCTTTTTTTTTTTTTTTTTTTTTGATGGAGTTTCACTCTTGTCACCCAGGCTGGAGTGCAGTGGCATCATCTTGACTCACTGCAATTTCCACTTCCCAGGTTCAAGCAGTCTTCCTGTCTCAGCCTCACAAGTGTTTTCTTCTATTGCAGATAAAAGCTTGACTAGTTTGAGGAAGACCAGTCTGACTAGAGTGAAGCATATGAGAGATGAAACGAGGTTAGAGGCAGTAGCTTTGGTCCAAATTATTGTTAAGCCAGGAAAAGGTCATGATAAATGCAAAGGTCATGATAAATGTAAAAATCACTGGATATTTTGCTGCATGTACATTAGCAAGTCTCAGTTTACTCTCCTCTTTTCTATTGATTATCCTTCTTATAGATATTTTCCATGATGGTGAGTTACATTCTATAGCTCTTCTTATCAATCATTTTTATTTGCCATGTCACTTTGAACTTGGCCATCTCCTAATGAGAGGTTAGGTCATAATTCTGATAGATAATTTACACAGTTTGGAGGGAGAGATTGTATAGAGTGAGAGAGAAAGAGAAGAAGGAATTCCATACCTTCTCTGATTTCTAGTCCTATAACACCCATTTCGTTGGAATGATAGTACGTACTTTCTTCTATTTAGATACAGAATGAGGTTTAAAACTTATGAAAATATCACATTAGAAAAAGCAAGCTATTTCTAGTGTTTTTGAGGAGGAGGCATCATAGTAAATGTTGGCCTATGATAAGAGCTTGACTCGTTGGCCAACAGTCAACTTCTCCATTAGGCACAGGGTCCAAGGCCCTCAATACTTTTAGGAGGCCACAAAAATATTTTAATTTATTTTGAAATCCAAAGATAAAGTGAATATAATATAATCTGGATTATATTCATTTTTGTAGCAACTCAGTCGTGAAATAATTTTAATTTTCTTCCTGGAGGAATGGCCTCCAAAGGCACAAGTGCCTATGGCTCATAAAAGTCAGAATGCACCTCTGTTTGACCCAATCCCCACTTAAATAACCAGGCTTTTGTGTTCTGTCCAATACACTTTTTCTCCAGATAAAATATTATGGGGTGTAAAACTGTGGTTGCTTTTTTACATGAAAATAAAGCTTCCTGAAAAAAGATGTGAGCCATGCTTCTCAGTCCCAAAAACAAAGCTTCTAACATGATTACTTTTCACTGAGGTGAGTGATGCAGAAAAATGTAGCCAGTGTTCCGCGATTTTACAAGGGTAGCCTGCCAGTTCCAACATCATTTCTGCATCAATTTATAATCAGATGGTTTTTAAAAACAAAATTTTCCATAAGTTTAAGAGAATGAACTAAAACTTAATTTAGTGGTTCATGGGACATGTAAAAGTACGACATGAATAATTTGAATTTATTTTTGCTTTTCCTTTTTAATTGTGGTTATCCTCATAGTCTTAAAAATGAAAGCGTTTCAGCATTGTGTATAGTAGGAGTACTGCGTCTATTAGGAGGGCTGTAAAATGTGATTTACAAATCTCTTAGAAGCAGGGAGAGCACAGTAGTTTGAGAAGGACTGTATTGCTTACAATTTGTAGATAACCACATTCAGTAATTTTTTAATATGATAAATAATTGTTTTTTAATGGAAGTGTCTTACCTAAGAAGACATAATGAGTTTATGGTAGTATGGAATGATTGAATGTTCAATTTGCAAATGCCTCAAAAGTCATAGAGTTTAATTGCATTTTACAGATGGTAAACTGAGGCAAAAAAAATGATTTGTTTAAGGCGACATTACTAATAACTGGGAAAACCAAGATAAAGACTTAGGATATCATTCATTTGACTTTATTGTGTTTTGTAAGTATTCTTCTAGGCAAAACTGTATATTAGATATATTCTCATAAGCGAAGCAAGATACTTGGTGGTCATGCAATTATTGATGAAACCAATTCTAGATCTTGTGTCATTTCACAGCAAACTAAAACTCTTGCGTTTATATTGCACTGCCATTAGCAACAGTGTCTGCACCCTATCTTTCTATCCTCTGTCATGTGTTGTTACTGAGCCGCTAATATAGTTGTAGAGGGGAAAAATGTGTTACCATTGCCTTTCATTTTATATAATTTTGGTGTCTCATTTCTTGCAATTTCATAGAAGCACCATTGCATATGAAAATGTGTAGGCCATCTAATACAAGCATGACATCATTGTGAAGGTGCAGATGACTCATTATCTCTGTCTCTCCATGAGAACCTTCCAAAATGAAGGGTAGATTCACATGATGCAAGTTGGTATTTTAAGATGGAGAATACAGATATACTTAAGGCTTTAGAAAAGATGATACATCCTATTGTTTCCTTAAATTTTAGTAACCAGAAAGTAGTTCCTATGAAAATGTACTCAACTGGAGACATCAGCATAAGAAAAGTGAGGTTAAAAAGAGTCTTCAGTTACTTAGCCAAAAATTTTAAGTTACAATTTCAAATAAATTATATTGCCCCCAAAACAGTTTTAAAAATAAGACCACAAGGTGGCCGGGCATGGTGGCTTATTTCTGCAGTGACAGCATTTTTTAAGGCTCACATGGGCAGATCTATAGAGCCCAGAGGTTCAAGACCAGTATGGGCAAAATGGCAAAATTCTGTCTCTACAAAAATTTATTTAAAAATTAACCAGGTGTGGTGGCCTGTGCCTGTAGTCCCAGCTATTCAGGAGGCTGAGGTATGAGGATCACTTGAGCCCAAGAGGTTGAGCCACCAGTGAGCCATGATTGTGCCACTGCACTCCAGCCTGGGCAACAGAGAGAGACCCTATCTCAAAAACATTAATTAATAAAATGAAAAAGACAACAAAGTTTTGATTGGTGTTATGAAAGAACTCTGTGGTGGTAAAACACTGGGAACGCATATTACTGGGTATCAGGAGAGCTGCTAATTGACACTATCATTTTGCTTTTATGAGTCTCTGTGTTTCCATTTGTATGAACCACATGAAAAAAAATGATTTCTAAAGTTGTAAATTGTTCAGAATTCATTTAAATTTTGACTCATTCCTTTCTCCGTGTTTACAATGCACTGTTTCAGATAACTGGTCAAAAAAAAACAATCATATATTAAGGCCTTACTAGATTCACCTTTTGCCTAGGTCTTTATGTCAGAATCTGTAACCCAAATCTCTTCTTTTGGAAACAAAGCCTTATTTGGTATATTTCTCAAAAGCAGGGAAACGATCACAGTTGTATCACGCGCACTGTCCTCGGGTTAGCCGGCTTTATAAAGACAGCTTTATCCATAACCAGTAGAAAGTTTAAGTTAGCCTTAACAATCAGAATCTAATAGAGAATGGTAAGAAAAACTGCTTCTCAGCTTTAGATTTTATCACTATATGGATGAGGTTGCTTCAGAACACTCATAAACATTTATTACAGACTGTTCCACTAAATTATTGAAAACTCCTCTTGTCTATTATTGTCTCTGATATTTCGGCAAGACGTTTACTTCAAAAAAATGAGTCAAATATTTTTAGCCCACTCTTGCCTCAGTTTCTTCACCTTTGAAATATGCCAATTAGGTCAGGTCAGAGAAATGACTGGACAACAAATGGACTGCCCCTTCCTATTCTCATGCCAACGCCAGGCAGTGGTGACCAGCCATGGTGTTCCCTTCCACTAAGCATGACTATCAAAGCCTGCACTTCGATGTCTAGTCTGCTCTGTTTCATTCTCCACAGGTCTTCATCTCTCTTTTCTGAAGCTTAAACAGTGAAGGGGCAGGCCGGGCGCGGTGGTTCAAGCCTGTAATCCCAGCACTTTGGGAGGCCGAGACAGGCAGATCACGAGGTCAGGAGAGGGTGACCATCCTGGCTAACACAGTGAAACCCCGTCTCTACTAAAAAATACAAAAAATTAGCCAGGTGTGGTGGCGGGCGCCTGTAGTCCCAGCTACTTGGGAGGCTGAGGCAGGAGAATGGCGTGAACCCGGGAGGCGGAGCTTGCAGTGAGCTGAGATCCGGCCACTGCCCTCCAGCCTGGGCGACAGAGCGAGACTCCGTCTCAAAAAAAAAAAAAAAAAACAAAAAACAAACAAACAAAAAAAAAACAAAACAGTGAAGGGGCATTTAAAGCCTGAGTCTTGTAACCTTTATCCATTCAATGAATATTTACTGAGAACCTACAGTGTATTTGCCTTTCTGCTAGGAAAAGCTGAACAAAATATGTCCTTCTCTCATGACGTTATAGTCTCCAGATAATAAAAAGTTAAACAATATATAAAAGGAATGATTATTGCTGTGATAAATGGTATAAAATAAATGTGCATTGCAATCAACAAGACTGGTGAGACTGTAAGCAAATTTCGATAAGGTCATCAGGGAGATGACATTTATGCCGACATGTGTGGAGAGAGAGAAGTCAGCCATACTAAGAACCAATGGAAGAGTAATCCAGGCAAAGAAAAGAGCACATGGCTCTGAGGTGGAAACGAGCTTACTTGCTTACTTATTTTGTTTAGCTTCAATTTTCTTATATGACACACTGTTTTCTACTCACTATACATTTACCTCTTCTTAAAATACCTCCAATATTCTTCAGGTTGACAATGTGTCCAATTAAAAATATTTACTTCCAGTCTTCTTTGCAAATATCAGTGGCAATGTGAGACATTTGATTAATGAGATGTAGGTAGATTTCTATTAGGATTTTAGGGAAAGTTTCTATCTTTTCTTACATAGGCACTACTCCTTTCATTTTTACCAACTATTACCTTCTATCATGAACAGAGTTGCAATGGCTGGAGTTACAGCAGTCACCTTGTGATGAGAAGGAAAATCTAAAGACATCTGAAGACAGTGGCCTTGTTAGGATGCTGAACCAATCAGAAATCTATCAACATTCACTTTCACATATCTTATATAAAATGATAAACTCTCCTTTTTCAGTTATTCTCACTGCTGAAAACATTCCTGAATGAACATTAAAAATATGCAGTTCATTTTCCAAATTAGGACTTTTTTAAGATAAAAGGGGGAATTATGAGTATTTATACCAGGCTGGACACTGTGGCTATGCCTGTAATCCCAGAAATTAGGGAGGCCACGGTGGAAGGTTTACTTGAGACCAGGAGTATGAGACAGATGGGGCAACATAGCTAGACGCTGTCTATACAACAACCATACAAAAAGGTTACAAACCAGCCAGGCATGGTGGCACATGTCTGTATCCTAGGTACTCAGGAGCCTAAAGCAGAAGGATTGCCTGAGCCCAGGAGGTCAAGCCTGTAGTGAATCATGATGTGCCACCGCACTCCAGCCATGGCAATAGAGCAAGACCTTGCCTCTTAAAAAAATTATGCCAGTATATTAGGCTTAAACCGGTACTGTCCCAGGCAAACTATGGCATATGATCTTCCTAACTGTAAGGTTATGTTGTGATTTAGATGAACTTATAAATGTGCAAATATTTAATATACTCTATGACATGTAAGTAACATATAGTACATATTATCATTATTACAAGTGGGTCTGTTATTCAGGAGAAAACATAATAGTTCATGTTAAATAATGTATGTTAAATTGGGGAAAAAAAGAGCAGGGAGAAGGGAGTTACCACCAAATGCCTGTTTAAGCTAGAGTTTTTGAAGTAGTTTATCTTTGAGTTTCAGTACAAAATGGAATTTATAAATAAAATTCTCTCTCCAGGACTGATGCTGCTAGGAACCCGAAGGCCTTTTGCTATTTTCTTTACTTTCTGTCTTCCTACACTACCACTGTTATTCTTCTATGAATCATATCTTCACCAAAATAGTCATTTAGACTGCCTGTCTAGTGAGAACAGAAAATCGGTTAGGTAGTCCAGGAGTTGACTCAGTCCTTGTACATAACTCCCCTGCAGGAAACCAAGAATACATTATTCCCACTCATTCCATGTATGTAAACCAGTCGAAAGCAGAGGGGTAAAGAAAAGACCGGGGAACCTGACTCTCACAGTCATTTTTCTCTTGGCTCCTGCAAGGTGTTTCTGAATATTTTCAAACAGCTGAAACCCAGGAAGTTATTATGAAGGGCATTTATCCAGGATACTTTCAAGAGCACTAATATATATATATACATACATTAATGCCATGACATACACAGACATATCAGCTAATTTTCTAAGACTATGATTAGGGTATTTGTGTTTTTTGCAACATCAGTTTAGCGTAGGCTTTCTTATTAAGAAACACTTACTGTCCTTTGCCATCTACCAACAGTTTAATCTGGTAAACAAATTTAATTATTTTTAAGATCAAACAAGTGTCAGTAAAGATATAAAATAGACACAATGATCTCCATTAATAGAGAGTAAAATACTATCCATGAGGTAAAAGCATCCATACTTCACTTCTTTTTCTATAAATACAACTTCAGCATAAATAGAATTATTTCAATAACTAGTTTAATCCATGTTTTCTAGTTCAGTAGATAAAGAATAACCTCTCTCGAAGCAACATTAAAAAGTGAAGTCACAGAGCGCTACTTATGGAAAGCCCATGCAGTATATTGCTGTTTAAATTTTCTTGATTCTCTTATCTATGTGCTTTTCTCACAGATATAGCTAGAGATCTCTCGTGCTTAATGACTCACAATCAAGAAAAATCCACATAAATTTACTCACAGCTTCCAAATTTTAGTGGGCAAGCATGGGCATCCATAGGGAAGTCCTCCAAATGCATTGGACATTCAGCTCTCACTGTCAACCTTAAGGGAAACATAGAATACAACTAAGAGCCGTATAGATTAGATACTTCTTGATAAGTACAAGTGGAATGCTATTAACTGTAGCAAATATATTAACAAAGCAGGCATAAATTGTAGGGTTATGCTGAGCTGTTAATAATCAAATGATCTAAAAATACATATTTACAATAATGAGTGGATTCTATCCTTTTGTTTGTTTGCTTTAAGAAAAAGGCAACTCCTGATACTGTACAATGGGCAAGCCTTGTTAATATTTTCCAAAACAACCGTTAACTAATCCACTCAACTACAGCAAATTGTTTGAGAATAACACTATAAGTAAGCATATAAACACTTGCGTAAATACTAATTTATCTTTGGTTGAGAGGAAGACATGGATAGCACAGAAGAAAAGAGAATTTCTCCTAAGTGCATCTCTCTCTGTTTCTTTCCCTAAAATAGCACCAAATGCATAAAAGAAGGAAAGAAAAGTTGAAGGGGGATGTGTCCTCAGGCTTTGTGAGATTAAGATTAATACAACGTCTCCATATATGATCTCACTACTTGCAAACCATTTGGTTTTCTTTACAAACCCACCATCTAATTGAAGCTAGGACTCTGTTGTGCTTCTCTCTAGTCTCTGGGATGTTCTGTGAATGTGAAATCTATTCTTGTTTTGTTTTGTTTTTTTGGATTTCTAAGAAGTTCACTGAAATATATTTGCTTTCAGTTTGTAGAATTGTAAGGAAATGTATATTCATGCCCTTCATATGATTTTTAGCAAGTATATTTACCTATATTAAGTAGCTCAAGAAATGTAATAAGATAGATTTATAGCCAAATATACAAAGTGTAATTAATGATTAATGATTAAATTAAATTAATGATTAAATTGCATTCTTAAATTATTAAAGAAAGTAAATACACATTAGCAAAGGAAAATTTTAGGTGATGAAAGATACAGATGAAGAACATTGCATACATCAGAAACCATTAATCAATAAACTACTTGGGATATGCAAGTCTCTCCTCAGAAAATTGCCATAAAAGAAGAATGAATACTGGATTTAGGCTCAAAGCCAAGTGTAGGGTGTTTCATCAGGGGAGAATATTTCAAATTTCAAATACCAGTAGGTCCTGCTTAGATAATCTAGAAAGTTATCAACACATGTGCTCATTGGTCCTCTATTTCTATCTTTTAGATTTTTTTTTAAGTCCTATTAGATTTCCATTCGTTGGCTCAATATCTAAAGTGTCTCTTGAAGCATTGTTTCTTTTCTTTTCTTTTCTTTTCTTTTCTTTTGGATGTTTGTGTTTGAAAAGCTAGGCATTCTGGCAGCTTTCTCCAAAGATAAAATATTACTGTACTTTCATACAATCCACTAAATTTAGCATTTTGCCTTTATTATCTTTTTGTACCAAAGAAATAATTGAAAAATCTGAATTACTAAGTGTTGACCAAATGTAAAAAACTCGTATCTAACAAGTCATCTGGGAATAAACTACTGCTGCTCTCAAGAATGAGTTCCAGATAATTCTTAATTTTTCATAAATGAGAAATACTTTTAAATATCTCTTTTTTTCTATATAATATTCAAAACTTTATTTGATTCATGTTTCCTTCATTCAATCATAAGCTATTGAACACTTAATAGATGCTGGGCTTTACAGCAATCTTAAAGAGGGGGAAATGTTCATAAAACAGAAATGTATGTGTAGTCTTTAGTTTGAGCAAAATTAATAGTATCTATAGTCTCATCTAGCTATCAAAGCCATTGTGAATTCAAATACTTCTTCAAATACCTATATCTACATGAATCTGTGTTTTATGAATTTTGTAACTTTCCATATTTTCTGTTTTTTATTACTTCATTTTTAGTAGGAATGTTTTCAGATGTAAATCATTAGACAGCTTCTAGAAATGTAATCTAGATCTTCCTGGAATGCAGGAATATATGAGTTTTATAATAGAGAGAGGAAGTTCCTTATATTGAACCACCTAGTTACAGAAAGTTATTTAAGAATAAAACTAGATGTAAGCAAATAAATATTTGCATAAATAATACTTCATCCTCTATTGAGGGAATTAGAGCAGGTTGGAGAGATTTTTAACATTGTTAAGGCTGAAAAACAAGGACGCAAATATTCCACCATGGCTCATCAGCCTGATGATTGCTTACAAGTGGAAGGGAATGAAGTACAGAAACATTCATGAATGACAGTGCAGTCATCCTTACCTCATGGTGTACAGCAAGGTGCCATCCTCTGTGATCCGCAGGAGTTTGTTGGGCATGGTCATGTTGTGGGCCACTGACTTCTTTCCATTGTGAAAAAAAGTGTCCGGAGTCCAGATTTTACTTGCCATTAGGTTATTTAACCGGAGGACTGTCATGGGCCCTTTAAATTTTAACCTTTCATCCTTCCAGCTTTGACGGAAAAATACATCTATTGTATATTCCTAGGTAATTTTGGAAAATGACGAAGAGTTCACTTGTGCTGTATTTTGCAATGCAAATATCCAACACAGACAGTGCATAATTTTTGCAACTTTGGAAGTAAAATGTTAGCTAGGTGATGTTTTTAGAAGTAAACGTGTGATAGCATGTACATGTTGATGTCAAGAGAATCACTGGTTGGTGTAATGATTTAAAAAAAAAAAATCTAAAATGCCTGACATATTTTTTGGTCAGAAAAATTTTTCCAATTATTGGCTCAGATATGTAAAAGGAAAGTAACACCCCACCTCCACCCTATCACAGCAGCACTAGAAGAAATAGAATATATCACAATTTTAAAACAAACTCATGTTAGAGGGTATTATGCATAGAAAAAAATGTTTAAGTTAGACAATTCCAGCCATAAAGGTAAAGCTTAGTGTTTTGGGGGCCCTCTCATTTCTCTGAAAACCTCATGCCCACACCCAAGTAAACTGTGATTCCAATACGGGTGTAAAAATTCCATCTTTTTTTTTTTCTTTTGCTAAATAAACTTTTTTTTTCACAGATAATGTACATAGACTTTCAATTATCCTACACATTAAAGAAGATTATGAAAACAAAGAAACTGCTTCTATTGGTAACTTGGATCCTTTTCAAAAAGAAAAAGAACAAAAAATAAGAATGCAGAGTGTGTCAGTGTGAGAGTGTGTGTTTGTGATTGTACATGTGTATAAGCCACATGAAAAATGTTTGAAGCTCATCATCATTCATAGCCAGGGAATCTATTAATTTGAATAAACACAGCATTTCTTATGGCAATACCCAGAGATAAACATCTGCTAATCTGAAAACAGGCAATGTGACTTACCAGCTCCTAAAATTGAAAAGGGTAATAGCCATTTTTCTTGCAGTACTTGCCACCCTGGCACTAAATTTGGAGCTCAATGGTTTGAAGTAGAGATTGCTACATTCTCCATTAATCTTAGTATACTCCAAACCAGAAAGTGAACTAACTTGAAAACATCACGCTACATTTTCCTAATCCTCTAAGCCCTGTTACATCACAAAGCAGTTGTTTTTTAAATCTTATACATATCGTCATTAGGACCTACAAAAAAAAACAATGTTTGTGTTTGGGAGTTTTGTGTATGAACTTAAATACATGTCTCCTTCCAAGGGCTTAAGCAATGCTGGGTGAATGTTGAATGAAGGTGCGTTCTCTGGCACTTGTTTGGCATTACTGAGTCCTTACTGATCAAGTAATTAACAACTATTATTAAATGTATTATAAAGCACCAGATATAGTACTAATTGCTTCCTGAGACAGAAACAAGGAAGTGTAATATGGTGCCAGACTTTCTTTGTAGACAAGACACGTTACCTTGTTTGTTGGTTAGTAAATTCCCTTCATGTATTTATCACAGTGCCTTTCATCTGACACTTTCAAACACAAAATCCTAACCAACAAACATTTCTTAAGCACCTGGTAAATTCAACAAAGGAGAGACTGTTTAGGCTTGGGCACTGTAAGAAAAACTCACGATGGTGTACGACAGGCATAGAATAGTATTTTCCATGGGAGGGGAGACTGTGGATGATATCAGCAAGTGACACAATGTGCCAATGCCTGTCAGGAAAACTGGGTGGATGAATCTACCTCAGGGTGTGCAGCTTTTCCTCTCCAGATGACAGAGAAGCTTGTGAGGTGGGGATATAATATATGATGAAATGTTCTGTTACTCAGGGCTTAGCAGTATAAGCTCTAGTTTCTATCCAACTGAATGACTTTAGATTGGTGAACAGTAGAAGGAATGAATGGCCACTTGCAAATCAAAGTTCCAAGGATGCCTAAGGTGACCACATTCCCATGAATCTAAACTTTGGTTCATTTATTTGCTTGCCCCAAAGAGATTTTTTAAAAATAAAATACATGTTAAATATAAACTAAAATTAGATGTACTACCAAATCTTTGACAAGATGTATCCCACAGGCAATAGTTTCAAAAAATTATGTCAAAATCTGCCAAAATCCTGATGTTCTCATGTTTATTATGTTTACCACCAGCTTTATTTATCTGTGCTAATGACAGACAATGGAATCCCCAAATTCGTTTAGAACATTCTTCCTTCTAATACTGTACCATTCACACACACACACACACACACACACACACACGAGCAGCACTCACTGGGTAATCTTCATTTCCATTTTCTGCAGTGTTAGAAGTTGAAATACAAAGTGAAATAAAAGCAGTTGATGAAAATTTGTTTCTGCCTAACCAAGAGTGTAAATATTTGGTCTTCCATTTCTGAGAACTCTCCCTGTGTGATTGTCGTGGTAGCAGCAGGTAGTTCCCAGAAGCTAGCTCTATAAGATGACCTTGCCCCCTGGGGCACGGTTCATTAGACCAAGAGTGGGTATCTGGATGAAGATTGGCCAAAGCCCCCCTCTTTTCCTTTTTTTCTTTTTTTTTTCTTTTCTTTCTTTTTTTTCCTTCCTTTCTTTCCTTCCTTCTTTCCTTCCTTCCTTCCTTCCTTCCTTCCTTCCTTCCTTCCTTCCTTCTTTTTTTTCTTTTCTTTCTTTTTTTTTTCCTCCTTTCCTTTCTTTTTCCTTCTTTCCCTTCTTTCTTTTCCTTCCTTCCTTCCTCTTCCTTTCCTCTTTTCTTCCTTCCTTCCTTCCTTCCTTCCTTCCTTCCTTCCTTCCTTCCTTCCCCTTCCTTCCTCCCTTCCCCTTCCTTCCTCCCTTCCTTCCTTCCTTCCTCCTTTCTTTTCCTCCTTCCTCCCTTCCTTCCTTCCTTTCTTCCTTCCTTCCCCTTCCTTCCTCCCTTCCTTCCTCCCTTCCTTTCCTCCTTCCTCCCTTCCTTCCCCTCCCCCACTCCCTCCCTCCCTCCCTCCCTCCCTCCCTCCCTTCCTTCCTTCCTTCCTTCCTTCCTTCCTTCCTTCCTTCCTTCCTTCCTTTCTTCTTCTTCTTCTTCTTCTTCTTCTTCTTCTTCTTCTTCTTCTTCTTCTTCTTCTTCTCTCTCTCTCTCTCTCTCTCTCTCTCTCTCTCTCTCTCTCTCTCTCTCTCCCCCCCCCCCAAAGGAGCTTCACTCTTTGTTGCCCAGGCTGGACTGCAGTGATGTGATCATAGCTCACTTCTACATCCACCTCCTGACTTCAAGCTATTCTCCTGCCTCAGCCTCCCGAGTAGCTGGGATTTACAGGCACGCGCCACCAGGACCAGTTAATTTTGTATTTTTAGTAGAAATGGGGTTTCGCAGTGTTGGTCAGGCTGATCTTGAACTCCTGACCTCAGGTGATCCTCCCGCCTCAGCCTCCCAAAGACCTGGGATTATAGGCATGAGTCGCTGCACCTGGCCAAAGCCCCTTCTTAAGGAAGTTGGGAAAAACAGGGAGGAGAGCAGCAGAACTATAGCATAATGACTATGGATGTGAGTTCTGAACCTACCCACTGAGTGGCCTTAGGTAATTATTTTACTCTCGCTAAGGCCCCAGTTTCTTAATCTATAAAGTGGGATAATTCACTCTGCGATTGTGAGAAGTGAGTTGATACTTGTGAGAACATCTTTTAACAGTGCCTAGAACATAGGAAGCTCTTAGTAAAAGTTAGAAATTATTATCTGTCTCCCATTTTATTATTTTATCAACACAAATTTATATTAGGTTTGTATGTAGCTGGTCATGAAAATGTGCTATTTCTTTAGAAGGATTGTAGGGAAGGAAATCTAAGGAAAGTAAGAAGGTGGTCGAAACCAAGTTAAGTAAAAACAAAATGCAAAAGAGGGGACTCCGTGGAAGAGAGGCTGGACAAAGGAGAAGCTCTCTTAAATAATTTGCTCAAGTTTCCAGGCTCTAGTCCGTACCACTCAAGTGAAGAGTCTGAGTTGCTCTGTTCAATAGAGTAGGTCCCTGGAGAATGTGAGTCTTAGTCTGAAGATCCGGGACAAAACATCCGCTATGTCCCTAAATAAATATTGTATTGAAGTGTTCCTGCCTGTGCCATTTATTACCATCTGTGTGTACTTTGACTTAATACGTTTTAAGCACTATGGAAAACAAGGCTCTATGATTGTACTGCCTCGATATTTCTGTCAGAACCTAGTGCCCTGGGAATGTTCTGTTTGATTGCCAATTAATGGTTTTTAAAATAAAGTTAGAGAGTTGTCCTAATTTTGTTTTCTATTCTAGATGAAGTCAGATGCCTTGGGAGCTATGGAGTCTCTGGGGCTAAATAGCCTGGGTTCAAGTTGCTACACTTAGCTAGCAGGTCACTTTCCTTCTCTGGGAAATGTAGATAAGAATAATACTTAGCTAAAAGGTTTGATGAGGATTAGATGAAAGATTATCTAGAAAGCATTTAGCATGGTGCCTAATGTATTGTAAGCATTCAATAGCATTAAATCTTGCTATGTTATTAATATAGATTAATTTATTAGTACTCACTTTAAAAACTATAAAACTTTTCCCATTTTGAAAAACAGCTTTGTCTTTCTGCCTTCTGATTTTGATTTCTTCTAAAACATGCTGCTGCTTCTTGTACACAATTCTCCCATAATATAATTTAAATGATTAATCTTCTAAAGCAAGGTGGTCAGGTACAATTTCTACCAGCTACTAGCAAACCAGTGGCAGACCCATGGCTAATTTGATTTTTAACAGAGCAATTGAAACACTGTCTTGTTCAGAGGTTTAAGGCAATAGGGAATATTGTTGGTTGGACACTCTGTTCCTTATTCCTATCTGACATTTGACCAAATGTGATATATAAAATGTAGATTATAATCACAAGTTTGAAGGTGTATCAAAAAGCCTATTCTAAGATTCAAAAACTGCAGCACTGGTTTATTAAATCACAATTAATCTGAAGCAATAACTCAAAGGCATGCCACCTATTTTTTTAAGAAAAGAGAAAAGCTTTTGATCGCCTGTGGCTTCATTTGGGCATTGTCCTATAACAACTCCTACTGGACATTGACTCTGTGACACACCATGCCAGGTGCCAGAGACTGAGATAGAATGGCCATTAAGCAAAATTTATGATTATAAGTAGTAAGATGAGGATTGCCATCAGTGCATGATGTTTTGAATGTTCCATGCCCTCTCTTGATGTTTTCATCAATGAGGAAAAAAAGAACTTCTGCATGCTCCCAATTCCCTCACACTCTTCCACTGGGGAAAAGAAGGAAGAAAGGGAATTTAATCTGATAGGTTAATTTGGAAAAATACATCAATTTTATCCATTTCAGTCCTTTTCTCTTGTCTTTTCCATTTGGCTACTGGCTGCCTATAAGAGTGAAAAATTCTGCTGTGCTGTCCCGTGCTGGAAGTTTTACATGTATAATCCACACCCCAGCAAAAGAAAGTTAACACTGCCTTGACTGGGTGGGTTAATCTGGTTGATTCTGGTGCCTACTCTCGGCAAACCCACTTGTCTACAGATATGTCACATTATGTAATACCATCATTATTAGTAATATATATATGATATTTTCATTCCCTATGCCTCCTACTCTAGTGTCTTATATCTCTATTTTCAGAACTCAGAGAGGAAACAGGGTATAATTTATTAGGTACCACAAGACCTCAATTTTTTTCAATATTATAGGCTTCTAAACCTATCACCAAAAAAATAGTAATTTAACATTTACTTTAAAATAACAATGAACTAATACTGTGAAAGATGTGAAACACATGTGTCTTTACATTCTAGGCAACAATTTAAGAAAATAAGATATTTATTTATAAATATGAGAAATAAGTTTACAAAGTAGTGTTATACATGTGGCCGAAAGCTAAAAGGTATTTTATAGTCAATTCATGTAATTAGAATACAAAAATGGAAAGTCAATTTGTTATTGGACTAATGAAAATGATTTCATCAAGTATTTGGGTCTTGATTTGGGTGGAAGTATAGGATTTAGATGGGTAGAGAGAAGAAGAAATTTCCATGAGTTCTGCATGGCACGATAAGGAGCTCAGAGGTAAAAATAATATAATAGCTCTGATTTATTGAGCACCATTGTAGACACTTTATTTGCACATTTCATTTAAAACTTATAAAAATGTTGCAGGAATGGACAACTATAATAATATACACATTTGAAAGACTTTGAGCCTTAGAAGCTTAAGCAATTTGTTCAGTGTCATGCTGCTGCTGATGGTGGATTTGAATTCAACCAGCTTGAGTCCCAGAGCCAGCCCTGCCAGCGCCGACACTATACTGCCTAGCAGAAAGCAGGACTAAAACAAATAGTTAATATTGGGAACAAGTGACAGAAAGTGGCAAAATCATTTATGGATTCTATGGAATACAGGCAGAACAGTTTGTATTTGACCTTAAACACGACTGGTACCTAACAAATATTTTTAATCATAAAAGTACCATGAGAGAATAGTGTGGGAAGACTGAGTTGCAACATGAGAGAAATACAATGGGTCTTCAGAAAGTTGTCAATTTAGTAAAATACATTGTATCACAGGTTATTTCAATAAAGTGGTCTACAGACTGATCATAATTCCAAATGAATTGTAAGATGCATAAATTCACAAGTATGATTGACTTTCATATTATATTTCTTGCATATTAGTAATGGCTAAAATTTGTTAAGTGGTGTTATTAATCTCACCTTATACATGAAGAAACTGATCCAGAGAGACATTAAGTAATTTCCCTAAGGATATACCCTTCTGTGTGAAGTAGCTGGCATCATAAACTCAGGCAATCTGGTTCGGAAACCTGCATTCTTAGTTACCACTCTGTTGCTGCTTATATACACCACCTGTTTTTCTTTGTCCAGTTGGCGTATTTCAAAGCTTGTCTTAAAATCTAAAATATCTAATTATCCTCTGGGCCAGAATTTCCCAAAGTTCACTTCACAGAATATTAGTTCTACAGAACATAAACAGGGGTCAAATGACAAAACAGGCCTTGGGTAAATACAATTGCAAAAACACCAGATTAAATATAGTTCTTGTTTGTTTGTTTGTTTGTTTACCTCAGAACTTGTGAGGGTTTTTACTCTGCCATTCATATTTTCTGTAAGTTTTATTCTGACCCACTGTGAGCTATGTTGAAATCAAAATACTTTTTCAGTAAACTGGTGCTAACATGAGGCATTTAAAAACTAGTATTCACTTAATATATCTTGGAAATATTCATAATGGTATGTCTCCATGACCACTTTATGATGTTTTGCTTATATAGAACTTTGGCTGTTATTAGCTCAGTAATATTATACAATTTCTGTACAGCTCTATAACTCCCATCAGACAGAAGAGAAATTCATGTTAATTTCTTTGTACTGGAAAAAAAGAGCAAGTATAGATTCATTATATTTCCACTCTGGACACTAATTTAACGAATGCTTTTTGCAGTGAAGCAGAATGTTTCCTAGTGGTGTGTTTTAAATATTTTTGTCTAATTCTGGTCAACTTTTACACTGGTTTCCTTTTGGTTTTTAGTAGCCAAAAATAATTTAGAAATCATAATGTTCACGGCCATTCCATAACAGTTCTGGTTACCTGAAAACAGCATCCTTGAATCAACATGGCCTACTGACTAAAATGAAACGTAACTCATACTGCATGGCTTGCAGGGTATTAACCAAGGCAAAGCAATCATTTTAGATATTTTTTTTAAAAGATGACTGCAGTGGTTGAAAATCATGGAAATAGGTCTGATCTGGGAAGCAAATGGGTATTTTTCTATTGTATTAATATTTTATTACATGTTACATATTACACAGAGAAAGACACAAAGGTCTAGCCAAGACTTTTCAGGTTGCTCCCTAAAAACTTAGTTTATATTTTTATTTGAAAAATTAAATTTTAAAAATTCTCCAAGAAAACCAAAGATACAGCGTCCACTTACCATATCATGGTCTGAAACGGGTCCAAAACTGGTGACGAAGATATCAGTCTTCACTTCGGTTACACGCTCTGGTGAAGCAGGAAATTGGGAGAGTGAGTGTCTATCAACAGTCCTTATTAGATATCACCACCACATACTCACACCCAAATGGGAAATTTATTGGCTTTGATTAGCTGTTTCTAAAATTGGTCCACTGTGTAGTCCTGATAATTTACTGCTTACACATAAAATTTCACAGTTAATATTTTCTATGGAGAATGAAGCCTAAATATACCACTTTGGGAGGCAGACTTTATGGAAAACTCAGCTGCTGCCTAATGAATTCTTCAAGAGTGGACATACTTGACTAAATGATACTAAACTGCTTCACATTATAATGAAAATACATTAGCATATTGGTATAGCTTAAGCTTAAGTATTTTTACATGGCTAGACAGATCCTCCAGGTATTTAGGCTACTCTTGGGAAATATAGTATACTTTAGCAAGCCTTATTAACTCTTTAAGGACTCAAGAGTGTGTTATATAAATGCTTGCTTTCTTGCACTAAATCATAACTGAGTTATCCATATTTTTCTTGGGGAAAATATGACATACTGTGTAAGTCTCTTCAATTTTCAGGATGAGAAGAACATATTATGGCACAGAAAAAGTTCACTTAATATATTGTGTTTCACATTCCATGTGGTTTTATTATATTGTCCTCTGATGGCACATATATTAACCAATAAAGCATATTAACTCTAGTACTATGACAACTCAACACAGATATTTCCAGAGAAATACTGCCATTCTCCAAGAAATAGAGAAACAATGCTTTCAGAAAAGAAACAATTTGTTGAGGGGTGAAAACGAAAAATATGACTTTATAATTTTCATCTTTAGCTCTGCAAAATGCAGTCAAATATCTTTAACAGTTCATTTATTTTTTTATTTTTTAAATTTATTTTTATTTTATTTTATTTACTTTTAAAATTATTTTTAATTTATATTTTTCCCAGGGAATAACTTGGATAACTCAGTTATGATTTAGTGCCAGAAAGCAAACACTTATAAAACATACTCTTGAGTCCTTGAAGAGTTAATAAGGCTTGCTAAAGTACACTATATATTTTCCAAAAGTAGCACAAACACCTGGCGGATCTTTCTAGCCATGTACAAATATTTACATGCCAGGGTATTTGTATCTCTGTCATGTAACATAAAAAAGGTGATTCACCTTTTATAAGTTCATTTGAATTTATAAAATGATGATTTCCTTTAGAAATCAAGAGCTGGCTTTTTTCCCTTAGCAATTTACTTGTGACGAGTTAAGACTGTCAGTATAAATTTATCCCAAGAAGATCATATTATACACTACACATAATGTGTAAGTCAGCTAAAAAGAATTTTTGAATCAGAGATGTTCCCTTCAATAACCAATACAATATTTTTTGCACAAAAAAATTAATTGACTTTAAACCGCTTAAATGAGTCTCTTGATGTAGGAATTATCTGCAGTTTCCCCTTTTAAAAGTTCAAAATGAGAACATAGCTTATGACAATGAAAATAAAGAGTAGTGGTTTTAGAACTCTCTTCCAACCGTAGCTTTAACACGCTGCATCAACTTTGGGTAGTGTGAGATGCACAGTTGTCAGCACTGTTTCTGCTGCCTTAACCATACTTCTCTTCTGATGTCCCTATTCTCATTCGTTCTAGCATCATTTTTCCACTATATGTTCTCTCTATTACACACATTCTTTACACATATACTTTTTACTAGATTATTTCTTTTTCTTAGTTAAAACATCTGTTATTTCTTAAGACTTCATCAAGAGCTTGTACTGTATTAGAAGTCAGGACTGTTCTTCAATGAAAAATAGTAATAAACAAAATCTATGCTATCTGTTCACAAAAGCTTGTATTTATCATAGTAAATGAGCTCACTCTTTTCTCTGCTTTTTTTTTTCAATATTTTCCTTTCTGGATCAAATAAACGCACCATCAGTTGGATTTTCTGTGATATAATAAAATATACCTTTATTATCAAAAGAAAGTACAAAAAGAAAGATGACAGACCCTCAGTCATATTTTCACCCTAGATTCTTTATGCACCTTATTTAAGTAATTTTATTTCTTATTTTTTATAGATAAACTTCTTGCAATTAGGTGTTTCCAGACTGGGTGACCAAGGAGAATTAAAATCTAAATTATCTTTTTACATAAATCTTGGTATGGTCAGATATTCCTATTACATATTTTTTTGTCCTGATTTGCTGACTCAACTTCTCTTTGTTTCCAAGGTTCAACTTTGGTTCTCTTCATAAAACAAAGTGTAAGATCTACCATGCGTATTTTATGAAACTTAGTAACATATATGGAGTCAAAAATGTTTTAATTATTTTTATTTTTGAGATGCATGTTCATTTAGGGAATACCTGCCAATCCTGGTCTGCACACTTGCACGTACTCTGTAGCCAAGGTCAGCTCTCCTGGAGTCCTTTATCACTATTATGTAATTCTTGAGTGTGGGAGGAGCGTAATTTCTACACTTTAAGGTAATTCCACGAAGTCCCTAGCTTTACAAAATTGACTTACCAAAGGTGTTAGGAGCCTAGGAGCCGCCAATCTGCATTATTTAGCATGATAAAAAGCCCTCAAGGGGTAAGGTGACCACTTGGCAAATATATGGGCCATCTCTCTCTGTTATTTTAAGATTGTTAGTAGGTAACCATACTGAAGTAAACTAGTTAAGGCTCAAAAGCATGTTTATAAAGATTATTATACCAATAAAATACAGCACAAAATATAGTTAAGTTTACATCCATGTTGCCATGCATAATTGTTACTGTGCCATTTAAAGATATGGCAAAAATAGAAATAAATTCACATACATGATTATAACCACATTTTGAGAGTCTGTTTCTTTAATATTTTGTTTAGCCTTTCTCCTAAACTTATTTACCATACCAGTTCATCATCTTCAGGTACTTTATCTTGTTTTCTGCTAGACACTTGGCTCTGAGATTTCCCAATACTTACCATTCCAATAGTACAAAACAAGTTCCCTGACTGGGAGTCCCCACATGCGTCTCTTGAAAGACGCTACTCACCATGAACTCTAACCATGCATGTATCCTTAAAGAGTTCCTGATTTCTTACTCTCTAATTATTATTTTTCTACTCCAACCATACTCTCAATCCCTAGGCTTTAGGTTGCAAAGTTTGTAAGTCTCAAAACTGAAAGATGCCTCTGGGAGATTGCAGTGACCAACTGCTAAATGGAAGGAGGAGTGAAGGCATAAGAAGAGGAAGAAGCAGCGAGTACTGTATTCTGCATATTATCTGGAACTTGGGGGATTAGAATAATTTTAAAAGGGGAGCAACCACTCCTCCTATGTTCGCCTCTAGTATATCTCCTTTGCCACATACCCAAGAAGTTCTCTTTCATTTGATTTGTCATCAGCTCTTAGCAAGTGTCCAGTGGGGACAGGGGGGCAGTGGGGGGAAGCTTCTGTGGCTGGAAAACTCTGCTAATTAACACTGTTGCAAACATTAACATCCTAATGTCTCTGAGGAATCATGTCTTAAATAAATATGGTCAATCTTGTTTACCCATGTTTCCCCAAATTATTTGTCACTGCTACTCTAAGATATTTCAAAAGCTTGAGGCATATATAACAATATAATACTTTGTGTTGTTAAAAAAAAAATAACTTCAAAATATAAGTTTAAAAAACTCAGAAAGATGTGAAAACAAGTAAAATTCCCTGGAATGCCACCATCCACATAAGTCCACTGACACGGTTTGGATATTTGTCCCTGCTCACATCTCATGCTGACCTGTAATCCCCAATTTTGGAGCTGGGGCCTGGTGGGAGGTGTTTGGATTTTGGGGATGGATCCCCATGAATGGCTTGGGCCATCTCCTTGGTGATAAGTGAGCTCTCTCTCTCTGAGTTCACATGAGATCTGGTCATTTAAAAGTCTCTCTCTCTCTCTCTCTCTCTCTCTGTCTCTCCCCCCCGCCCTTTCCCTCTCCCTCTCCCTCTCTCTCTCTCTCTCTCTCACTTCTGCTTTTGCCGCGTGATATATTTGCTCCCCTTTCACCTTCTGCCATGATTGGAACTTCCTGAGGCCCTCATCAAAAGCCAAGCAGATGCCAGTGTCATGCTTGTATAGCCTGCAGAATAGTGAGCCAATAAAAACTGTTTTCTTTATAAATTACCCCAGTCTCAGTTATTTCTCTATAGCAATTCAAGAATGGTTTAACACATCCACTTTTTATTCAAATATAAACTTAATGATTTTTCTCAAACCACACCCTCACAAATATACAAACTGTATATGTATAAACATATATACAAATACTATACTACAATTCCTAACTCCCAGACAACAGTTAATCTGTTTTTCCTGGGAATTTTCCACAATGTTGGTATCTTGCTGATAAGATTTGAAATAACATATGTTTTAAAGCGATAATTCAAAAAGATGAGATTAGTACTCGAAGCAGCAATGAGAAAATCAGAGTAGTCAAATAAGTAGTAAGCACAATAGATTAAGCATCTAAATACTCAGATTTAAACTCTGATTTTTCTCGAGAACAAACTGCGTGATTTTAGATACAAGCCTTTAATCTCTCTGAGTCTCTATTCTTACATTTTGAATGAATAAATAATACCTGCTCAAATGACTACACAGCATTGGAGTGATGTTCAAATAACATTGTGGTGCCACAACACTTTGAGAGGCATCTGTTGGGTACATTAATTTAGTCAATAAATGTTTATTAAACATTTTCTATGTGCCACTTAGGCACTCTTCTGGGTAACAGTAATACAATGATGAGTAAAACTGTAAATGTTTCTGTTCCTCTGCAGCAAACCACATACTTATTTTAGGAAAAACATATTTTAGGTCGATTAGGGGATATATAGAGATGTAAGTACCTACAGAATTATGCAAAAACACATATGCACACATTCTGCTAATTAAATTCAGATTATAAATGTTCTGAAAAAAATGTCATTTGAAGAGATAAAACTTGAAATGAGACTTTAAAGATGGGAAAAATTTAGTACGATCCAGGGAGAGGAAAAAAAATTTTAAAAAGGAGGCAAAGGATCTGAGGTGAAAATAAATGTGCTAAATGTGTTATGTTTAAGAAACAGAAAGTGCAGCATATCTGGATCCTGGTGATGCTGATGATCATGGTACAAGATGACAATCTAGAGGTAAGTGGGACCATATCTCAAGATCCCTGAGCATTTCAGCTAGCAGTTGACCTTTATTTTGATGCAGTAGGAAGCCTTTGAGTAATGAAATGTAATGAAATGATGTTACTTACAGTCTAAGAAGATAGTTGATGCTGTGTGAATAGTGAATTGCATGAGTGACTGTAATAAAAAATGGAGGAGGGAATGAATAAGAAAGAATTGTAGGTGGTTTTTGTTCGTAATGCTATCATAACCATTTATTTAATATGGTATTGGCCATATTTTCCCTGGAAATGCTGTCTGCTGAGGAACTCAGAGTAATATTCAACTAGACCCAGTTCTGTGGGTTCATAACTGATGAAAGAGGTCTATTGCCATATTTAAGCTGCTTTGTGTCTATTGATTCACAGAGGTAGGCACTACATGGAGACTAAATGGACTAACATTAGTCGTTATAATAAAATGTATCTCAAAACCCTACCTTAAAATGGTCCTGTTTGGAAATTGAAAATATCCTCAGCTCCTACATAAACATCAATGTATATTCCTGGATAAGGCAATGTTCCAGCTCCCTGGTGACCTGCTTGATTGGAGCAACATTTTTGTCCCCTGTCCTTCTTCTCTATTCAATTAATGCCTTAGAAAAACTGGAAACTATCCCTTAGATGATATGTAGAGTTACTTAATTTTGACTGTATTCAGCTACTAAGTCTGGATATGGGGGTAGACACCCAAGTTTCAAGGTGTTTGACCAATCCCTGATTCTTTGGTGTTCTGGGATTCTAAGAACTCAGATGATGCAAGCGTGTCCTAGGAAGAAAGGTCAATATTATTGCAGGAGCTATTTATCTTATTTCCACTGATAAATTCTCTCCATATGCTGTAATTTGAGCAGTTTCTATCGAGAGAGGGCTAACCTTCAGAGAAGATTGAGCTGTTGGAGAAATGGGTTTCTTCTGATCAGTAGAAGTCCTTTTTTAATTTTTATAATTTTTAATTGTTGTGAGAACATAGTAGGTGTATGCATTTACAGAGTACCTGAGATGTTTGGATACAAGCATGCAATGTGTAATCAGTATAAGTCTTGATCAAAATTGTGCAAACTGTGATAACTCTCAGGCATCCTATTTCACATTCACAGGGTAGCATTTTAGTAATAAGAGAATAATACTATTAACAATCTTACAGAAATACGCAAATACTTAGGGCCTTGCTTTCTCTTAAGGTTTCCAAAAATGGCAGTCTGTGATATATAGCAAATGAGATTCTCATCTCAGGAACACTACACTATTTTTCAAGTATAGAAATCTGATTCTGCCAGGGGAAAAAAAAAAAGCAATGATCTATAGACTGCATTTTTTTAAAATCCCA